CTAAAGTAGCAGCCTTCTCCCATGCTCACATCAGGCTATCGCATGAAGCTAATTTACTTTCTTCATAGTACTCATCATTATTTGAAACAATCTTATTTATTTCTTTACTTGTGTGCTCCCCATCTTCCCCATCAGAATGAAAACTTTATGGTAACATAAACTCTGTTCCCAGCAGCTTGCACAGAGCTTACTGTACAGTTGCCAGGACTGCCATGGAAGGTTGTAAAGGCTGTTCAGTGCATCAGAGCTCCTGGCTGAAGAGCCAGCATGCTTTCTGTGCTCCATGCTGTGGGGGCATCCAGCAGGTTGCCACAACAATGTGTGCTGTGCAGGCTATGCTCTGTTGTGGGCATTCGATAAATATTCTTTGAATAAAGAACTGACTGATAGATGTGTGAAGCCTCTGCTTATTTTCTTCTCAAGGATTCATGCCAATTACCTTTTCACAGCCTTATTTTCTTCATCTGTTAAATCAATTAATATCTATCGTATAGCATGGTTATGAGGATCAAATGACATAGTTCATTAAAAAGCCGGCACAAATATGATTTCATTTATATGAAATGAAATACCCAGAATAGGTAAATCCATCAAGACAAAAAGCAGATCAGCGGTTGCTAGAGGCTAGGGGGAGTGGAGTTGGGGAGTGATTGCTTACTAGGTAAGGTATATCCTTTGGTGTGAGTAGTGTTTTAGAACAAGAGTAATGCACAAGGTTATGAATGTTCTAAATGCTAATGGATTATGTGCTAAAAGGGTGGATTTTATGTTATGTGAATTAGGTTATGCTATATGAATACCTCCATTAATGAAAACAAATGCTGTGCCTGGGACATGGTAGATGTTCAACGAATATTGGTCAAATCCTATGATTTCCATGTTTCAAAAATAAAACCCACTTTCCTTGGCACTTCATTGTTCCATCTAGGGTTCCATCACTTTCCTCTCATTCATTTATTTCAGAAATACTCATTATTGCCAATGCAGACATTGGGGAAATGAAGAGAACAAGACAGATGCAGATCCTACAACCAAAAAGAAAGTCACAGTAGTGTGGTCAGGGCTATGGGGGAGAAGGGCTGAGGGCTGTGGGACACAGGAGGGGAGGAGGGGCTGCCATTAAGATTAGAGAGGATCAGGAAAGACTGGTCTAGATAAAGAGACCCCTGAGGTGGGACCTGAGAGGTGAGGAGCCCAGGAGGAATAATTTGCTAAGTGGGAGATGTGGGATGAGGGGTTGGGGGTGCAGGAGCCCCAGGAAAAGGGGAACAGAGCATACAAAGCCAGGAGTAGAAAAAGTTGGGTGTGGTTGGAGCAGAGTGTGAAGGTGAGGACTAATAAGAGAGGACTATTGCTGGTGAATCAGGACGATGTCCTAAGACATTCCATCAACTGGCCTCTACTCTTCAGGTAGTTCTACCATGCCCCTGTTTAACAAAACTCATGAGACCAAGAGATCTCAGAAAGAAATGGTTAATTGAGCCAGTACAGATGCTAGTCAGAAAGGACTTGTCCAGGGACAAGCTTCAGGGACAGGTAGCAGTTGGGAGGTGGGGGGAAACCATCAACATGAGATCTAAAAAGCCAGAGTCGTTTATAATAAAATCTGAGGAAGGAAGGCCTAGGCTATTTACGTTGAACCCATTGGCCATAGATAAGAAAGGGCAGGATATACCAGGGTGAGGGAGGCTTTGGACAGGTGGAACAGAGTGGACAGGTGGGCTGTCTGCTCAGGGAACCAACCATTGCCTCTGTGTTAGCTGGGACTGGCATTCAAGGTTTTAACACACATTCAAGAAAGTAAAATTAACTTTTGTTCTTGTGATCTTGTAGTTTGTTACTGATTAACCTCCCCCATCTCTCCTCTCTTCCAACCCTAGCCCTTTGTGCTTAAATGAGGACATCTCGATTTTTTCCTATCACCCACATCTGGGCAGCCATTGCTCTGGCTGTGCCCTGTTGGTTCCTGTGGATCCTGGTGCAATATATGCCTTGGCACAGTCAACCTTTCCTCTCAGATATCTACTGAGCCTACCCTGCTTCAGGCACTGTGCTGGATACTGGGAACCTAGAGATGTTCTAGAGACTCCTGGGAAACCTCCCAGGCTAATGGGGAAATGCTGCATGGCATGCAGAGGGTGCCCTGGGCTTGGAACAGGCAGGGCTTACCAGGGTAGAGAGTTCAGAGGAGGTGACTCCTGAGCTGTATCTTGAAGGACAAAGAGGCACCAGGCCCAGGCTGAGGAGCAAGACAAAAGGTAAGCCGAAAGCACAGGGAGAGATTTACAGCTTGTCTGTTGGGGGAGGGGGTGTGTCACAGGAACCTTGAGTCCAGATAAAGACTTGCGCCCCCGTCTAAATAAACACACACATACACGTAAAGGTTTGCAGGGAATTTTGAGCCCTCTGGCTTTGCTGCAAAGAAGGCCCTCCCTTTCTCTTTTGGCTCCAGCCCACCTCCTTCCCAGGCTTGCAAAGCTTCCCCTTCAACTCTGGACTTTGTACCCATCACTGGAAATTCACTTGTTTATCAGGGCCAACCAGCCTGAACAGCGGCCTGCTGAGGTCTGTCCCTTCTAGGGCCCCTGGACGCTCCTCTGTATTCCAGCAGTAGGAACACCCCAGCATTAGGAGTGGGGGCGAGCCCGCAATCCGTGAAGACTTGGGAAGATGTAGTCTGAGTCTTTCCTGCTGGAGGCGCTGCACGCAGCCCTGCATGCCCAGCCCTCTGGGCACCTGTGCTTCCGCCCTCGCCCCGCCCGTTGCCTCTCCAGGTGAGTCAATCGGCAGCTCTGGCCCGCCCACCTGTCCAGGTTTTGCCGGCCCAGCCGGAAGCTATCTCCACGGATTGTGCACAGTTCCTGAAGGTGGGAGCAGAGAGGGAAGATATTGGGGGCGTGGGAGAGGGTACCCGGGCTCTCCACGGAGTCCCAGGGGCTACTGGGAGCAGCAAAGAAATGACAGATCTGGGTGGGTTGTGTGTTCTTGTGTGACCTGAGGGGGTGGGGTGACACAGTGTGTATGTGGGGGGGGGGCGCACGGGTAGGCTAGTATGGGCTATAGATTCAGAGGTGTTTTGAGGAATATCTATGTGCCTCTGTGAGGTGACTCTGTGTGTGTGTGTGTGTGTGTGTGTGTGTGTGTGTGTGTGTGTGTGTCTTTGGGAAGAATTTACAAACCAGGACAGGGAGGAAAGGAACAGGAGTAAAATCTTAGAAAAGTCTAATTAAATTGAATTCATTTCAGTGTAACAAACTCATCTGTTGAGAACTTAGTGCCTAGAGAGAGATTTGCTGTAGGCAACTAATTGTGCTTGTAAGTGAATGAACAATGTAGTTCTTCTTTCTAAGTCATCCCTTTCTCCATAAACACACTCTCTACCCTCCCCCAATTCACCTCCCTAACCTGATCTGAGCAGCAGAGGTGTTGGTCCGCCTGCACCATAGACTACATATCAATCAGCCCAGTCCTCAGACCTCAGGGAGGTGCTCACCTGGTAATGGCCAGTTCTGACTGGTGGCCTACCAGGTAGGACAGGGCAGAGGTCACCCAATGGGGATCCTGGGACAACTTCACAGGCAAGAGATTTGGCCTGGTTGAAGCCTCAAAAATCTGAGGAGAGGGTTTGGTCAGGAGCAGGAGGGTGAGAGTCAGGCGTGTGTGTCTGAGTGGTGGGCAGGGATTGTAGCGCTGAGGAAGAAGAGATTGGTCTGAAGGCCCCGTGCTGGATTGCAAGTCCACCAAGGACAGGCTAGGAATTCACAAGCATACCAAGGCCACAGGGAGTTCTGGAAGGATGTTTTGGCAGGTGATAGGATCAGAGTTGACTCTGGGGAGTGGACTAAAAGTTGGGAGAGACCAGTTAAGAGATTGAGGCTGGAGGGACAAGGCAAAGGTGGTTGGACACAGCAAGGGGACTAGGCAGTGGGTAGGGAGGAGGGGCATATTAGTGGAGATATTTAGAGTGAGAACCAATGGTTGGGTGTGAGGAGCGAGGGTGTCATTCAGGTATCTGTGTTACAACATATGTCAGGGTACTCTTGACACTGGGTGCTTTTCTCTATGCACTTCCCTGAACTCTGCCCCAGGGACTCCTCCTGCAGGAACTGCCCAGCCCTAGCTGTCCCTTCTATGGTACTTCCCTAACTTTGGTGTTCTTACAGCTCTGCCCCAGGTTCAGGTGTGCCTCTCCACACGCCTTTGACTCAGGTGCTGCTTCTTCAGGGGCGCTTAAGCCCACATGAGCTCTTCCAGGGTGTCTGGCCTAGGTGAAGCACATCCCATCATTTCCTGCTTCAGACAGCCCTTGCTGGGATAGTCCCTGGCGTAAGCCTCCCTCTGGGGGCAGAATGTGGGATTCCCGTGGGTAGAGGTGGTAGACAGGGATTGCTATGCATCTTTCTCATTGGTCTGGCCTATGTTTAGGCAGCTCCAAACAATGGCTTTTGTCCAGTCTTTGGGAGCCAGAACCCATCTCTGCTGCATTTCCTGTCCTCAGTTTATCAAGAAGTGTGGCAGGCCAGGCCCTGGTGTCAGATCTGGGTTCAAATTTTGGGGCTTTTTTTAAGTTTGTTCACCTTTCTGGGCATTGGCGCCCTCATCTGTAAGGTGGGGATAGTCTTTATGCCCACATAAAATGTGAGCACACTGCTTTGTGCCTGAATCTTAAGGAATGCTCAGTAAGAGCACTGGGATTTATTTATTGTTTTAGTAGCTTCTAGAGCTGAGCCCTGTAACTGTCCCTTACAAATGCACAGCTGGTTTCTGAGCCTTTTCTTCTGTGGACAAGTGGATAGTGCTCTAATCCCCAGCATCTGTGCAGCACCCTAATGTGGCTGTGAGTGTGGCCTGGAATGTGCACCCCTGGCCGTCTCTGACCCCTATACTTCTGTGTATTTTCCAGGACTCGTGCCCTAGGGCTGCCTGGCATCTAAGGTCTGTCTGGAGCCCGGGCTTTTTCAGTCAGAGGCTGAAGTTCACTGATGTCATCAGACCCCTCTATGTATGACACAAACCAAAGTGAGTGATAGAGGGTGGGTGGTTGAGGAGGAGGTGGGCTCCCCTTAGCTTCTGGGACTGGGGGAAGGGCCCTGCATTCACTCATCTCAGTTTCTCCAGGGAGCCTCATTTGGGGCCCACTTATAATGCTGTCCCTTTCTCTACAGCCCAGGTGGAGCCATCAGAGCTCCCTACAGTATCAGCCATAGCTCCTGATCCAGGCACTGGGGGCCGGGGATGGCCTGTGCTGGTAGGGGTTGTGCTGGGGGCTGTGGTCCTCTCTCTTCTCATCGCACTTGCTGCTAAATTCCATGTCTGTCGCCGATATCGTGCCAGTTACCAGCACCGCCCATTACCTGAGACAAGGAATGGGAACCGCCCAGTGGTGGGTGAAGATGAGGATGATGATGGCTTCATCGAGGACAATTACATCCAGCCTGGGGCTGTCGAAGTGGAGACAGAGAGAAGCAGAGACCACTTCTCTCTCTGAGCCCCAGTCTTTGGACATTTCCCCCTTCCTTCCATGCCTGATTTTCAGGACAACAGATGCTATGTGAGAACCTCAGTCCTCAGGGACAGATGTGGCTACAGCGTAAAGATTGACCAGGGGTAGAGCAGTCCTTTTCTTGACACTAGCCACCAAAGTGACCATGACTCTCTCTTGCTCAATAACTCTCAATGGCTCCCTTCTATCAGCCTAAAAACACACAATTATGATGAAAGGACTCTTGGTTTCCTTTTTGCCTTTCCCTTCTGTACTCCCAACTTAACTGTTTATTATTCTCCCTCACCACTTGTGTCCTGCTCACCTTGTTCCCCCTACCTGGCAACCCTACCTTCCTTTGTCCTCTTTGACAACAGGCCTCTGGGCATAACTACCGTGCCGTGATTTCAAATGTGCCTGGATGATGTGTTTGAGCAGGTAGAAACCAGTGCCAAGTTTCTTACTGAAATGTTTCTTATCGATGAAGCGGCTAATCTGGTATAATATATTATGTTTTACACAGGAATTAATAAATCTATTTTCATTTTGAATTAAAATAAGTCATCATTTATATTTTTTTCCCAAACCAGAGCATTTCACTCATAGTTAGAAAACAGTACCCAGACCTCCCTTTCTCCATTAGTTTCTCCCTCAGTGACACCCTGTGAGTTTCTTCATATTGTCCTGGCCACATTTTATTGTAATCTTTATGACACTTGGCACCTGCCTGTTACTGTGCTAGACTGTCTCCACAGCTAGACAGTGAGCTCTCTGAAGCCCTAGGCTGTGACTTATTCTGTGCCTTCAAATTCTCTCACAAGGCGGATGCTTAAGAAATACAGTCTGCTCTTCGTTTCTGTGGGCTTGTATCCATGGATTTAACCAAGCATGGGCCAAAAATATTTAGGAAAAAAAAAAAAAAGATCCAAGGAGTAAAACTTGAATTTGTCATGTGCCAAGTACTTATGCTGAAACCAAATGAAATAATGTGTAGGCATTGTGTCAGGTGTTATAAGTATTCTGGAAATGATGGAGAGTACATATGGGGGATGTGTGAGGGTTGTATGCAAATAGTGTACCATTTTCTATAAGATTTGTGTGTGTGTGTGCGGTACTGGGATTTGAACTCAGGGCCTCACACTTGCTAGGCATGCACTCTACCACTTGAGTCACTCTGCAATAAGAAACATGAGCATTTGTGGATTTTAGAATCTGAGAGGTCCTGGTACTGATCCCCTGCCGTACTGGATTCTGAGGAACAGGTATATTTGTTGAATTGTACACTAATGGTGAATGAATGCGTGGTAAGGAAGTGGAAGGAAATGTGGAAGAATTTACCAAGAATCTTAGCAAAGGGGATGTGGAGGATGGGGTCATAGTTGCTGAAGGGAGATTGGGCAGGGAGACAGTCTTCAAATAGGAGAGGCTTGAGTTAATTTCAAACAGTAGAAAGGAGTTTGGGGGAGAATCTTGGCAGCTGCACAAAATCAAATGGACAGCTAAATTGGCAGGCAGAAAGAAGGTGATCCCTGTAACTGCAGGTCAGGCATTTTACCTCTAGCACTCTGTCACAGGCTCTCCATGTGACTCCCCACACCTAGGACTCCCAAACCCTTTAATCCAAGTTTTAAGTACTTAGACAAAGATTGTTCAGTTTAATCTGGGTCAAGTATCCACCACTGGTCCAATCAGCTAAGGCAGGGTCCTGAGTACACACGTGGTTTTGAGAAACCCTTAATTCCAGATCATTCCCAATCAAGGGGCTGTCCTCACGAGCAAAGAAGTCACCCTTCCATGTGTCCACTGGGATGCACTGTTGGCCTTAAGGGAAGAGCTGGCAGAAATGGAAAGTGAGGGAGTGCCTGAAGCAGGGAGGGTTTTGAGAAAGAAGAATAAGGTTCAGAACGACTGGAGGATAGTGTTTGAGGGGCCCATGGCAGTGATGAGCACTGAGCAGACCAGACTAGTTAGGGCCTTGGAAGTCAAGATGCAGAGCTCACGCTTCAGCATGATAGTAACTGAGGCTCATGTGTGGGCTTTGTTGTGTGTGTGTGGTGTGTGAAAAAGAGTGATAAAATCATGATAGAAAAGTCATTCTGGTTGTTGTGCACAGATGAACTAGAGGGAGAGGGAGAGAGATAGGTGATATGTGATAAGATCCTACCAAGGTATGGCACAGGGTAAAGAGACTCCAGACAAAAGGGAAGAGGCAGAGTTGACAGAACTTGTTGGCTTTGGATCTGGACAGCTGGGAAGTCAGCACACGGCTGCCCTGGCTTCTGGCTCAGCAGCTGGCAGCAGTGAGGAAGAGCAGATCTGGGGGATAGACAGTCAGTGTTGGATATAGAATTTCCAGGTAGAGATGCCCAGGGGAGCAGTTCAGTCTGTGGACATGGATTTGGGATGCTCAGCAATGTGGTCACTGAAAGCAAGAGTCGATGATATGTGAGAACCAGATCTCTAGGATTGTCAGTACAGGATTCAACCACTGGGTCAATAGTACTTATGCAGTGACTCATGCCTGTAATCCCAGATACTCAGGAGGCCAAGATAGGAGGATCATGGCTTAAGGTCAGTTCAAGCAAAAATAGTTAGTGAGATTTTATCTCAAAAAATAAACTGGGTGTGGTGCTTTGTATCTGTAATACCAGCTACTGGGAAGGTAGAGGTAAGAGGATTGCAGTCCAAGACTGTCCCTGGGCAAAAAGCATGAAAACCTACCTGAAAAATAAACTAAAGCAAAAAAGGCTAGGGCATGGCTCAAGTAGTAAAGTGTTTGCCTAGCAAACACAAGGCCCTGAGTTCAAACCCCAGTACCACCAAAAAAATAAAAAAAATTGCAGAAAGATCTAAAGAGTTAAACTTGAATTTGCCATGTGCCAAGCACTATGCTGAAACCAAACGATGATGTGTAAGCATTGTATTGTTATAAGGAATCAAGAGCTGATTGCAAGTCTGTGGGAGGATATGTGTAGGTTACACGCAAATATGGCACCATTTTATATAAGGGACTTGGGCGTCTGTGGATTTTGGAATCTGATGGGTCCTGGAACCAATTCCCTGCCATACTGGATTCTGAGGGGCAGGTGTATTTGTTGAACGACTCCGGACCTCCAGACCCCTATGGTGACTCAAACATGTTCTTTACAACTTGCTTGCTTTGCCTAGCAATAAAGCTATTATCTCAGATCAAAGTAGGATAAAACGGACTGGAAAAGTAGCTTTCTTGGAGTTGGTCCTGTGTAGAAGCCTGGCAGAGGAGATATGGAGGAAACAGCCAGAGAAGAAGGGAGCCCGGCCAATGTAGCCCAACTCCACAGTTGCTCCTGAATCTAGAGATGGTTTGACTGTCGAAGGCCTGCAAGGAGCAGAGGCTGTCCCAGTCTGAGACCCTGGAAGAGGACACGAAGCCATGGCGCACAGGGCACGTGCTGGCCTCTGAGGGAGGAATAGTTGGGCCAGTCCCCTGCCCTTGAGCTCCCTTGATTTCCACACAGAGGTGCTGCACCAGAGAGTGGCTCAGGCAGGATGTCTGAGGAGCCAGGAGAAGGTAAATGTCAGATTAGGCACTGCTGTACCTGAGCCCGCACCCTGCAAGAGTCCACAAGTAGAGCTTCCTCTCAGAACCTGCTGTCTAGTGCCAAGCCTGGCTGAGCAGGCCCTGGAGTCATAAAACCTTGGACCCTGTCTTTCCAGGCCTCACTACCTCTGTGTTCTGCATCCCTGGCCCCAGGCACAGGGAGGGAGCTTGACCTGGGTCCATAAGTTCAGAGAACTAGGAGAATTAGAATTTCTGGGAGGCCTGGCACTCACCTGACCTTTTCTGTGGTCTGTTTTCTGACTTTAGTTTCTGGCCCCAGCTTGGCTCTGCCCACTTTTCAGCAGCTGCCACTACCTCCTCTGCTCTGGGGACATCAATCCAGACCTGGTTTCTAAGGATAACCCAGTTTCCTGGATGCCTCCAGAGGCATGGCCACATCCCATGTCCTGTGTGGGAGGTCAAAGACAGGTGTGGAGGGACGAGGTGTCACAAAAGTCATAGACATGAAGTTTAAGAAACTCCAGCAGCATCCTAGCAGAGAAGCAAAATGATTTGAGAATCACAGCTCTGTCACTTACATGCTGTATGACTTTGGGCAAGTCACTTAACTCCACAGTGCTCCAACTTTTCAGCAAAATGGAGATGGTAACAGTACTTGGGATAGTTGTTAGTAGGACTAAATGAGTTCTATATGTAAGGTTGAAGACAGCAAATGCTATCTATATTCCCCCCCACCCCAGGCAATGGCCACCACAACAGGTAACCAGCCTTAATTCAGAGGAAGAAGCTCAAACACGTTAACTGCAGCTAGCCCGATTTGTCCAGCTATAACACCAATATCTCACCTTGAGGTAGGGATAAAACTGTCTCAGGCAGGGAAACTCCTGGGGCTTTGACTCGTCCCAACCTTGCCTGGGATGACCATCCCCACTCAGCAAATGGGGAACCAGATGTTTCAGGGTGAAAGCTCCAGGTTTTGGAGAGCAGGCTGGGAGGTAGAACTGGTTAGCTCCATCCCAGACAGGCCTGGTCTTCATTGTCTGTGGTTCTCTAAGCCCTTGGGGTGGCTTCCAACTCTATGCCCAGGGCAGTCACAGGTGCTGGAGAATACTCAAGAGGGCATCCCCTGTCCTTGTGCAGGATGCCGAGCCTGAGGGAGCATGTGTAGGTCCCCTGGGGTGTGCATGGAGGAAGTTCCTCTAGGGAGGCCTGAGGTCTCATGTGGAATGTGACTGGATGCGGGGTAAGAACCACCTGCACTAGACCAGACTGGGGAGTTTCTAGATCATAGTCTCTTAGTACCTAGGTGACATGGCTGAGAACCTGTTTTGATTGTGAAGCCAGGGGGACATGTATGTTTCTCTCTCTTAATCTCCCCTGCCACCCAATTGGAGCCTGTAAGCCCAGGCCGCCCTACTCTGCCTTTCTAGCCCCTTCTTGTCATTTCTCTTCACTCATTGCCAATATCCTCAGCTTTCCCGTCCCACTGCACGCTCATAGTGAAACTCTAACCTGAGGTCAACTGCTCCCCATGCCTGCATTCTGGCCTCTGGTAATGCCTGTTCCCACTTCATGTAGGCCCTCAAAGTGTCCAGGAATCTTGCTTTTTTCCTGGTCAGATCCCTCTCCCTCTCCATAGCAGCTCTTTAAAACTGCCTCTACCTTGCAGAGAAAATAGCTGTTGGTCAGGGCCTCCCTCAATTTTCTGCTTCAAAACCCACAAACTTTCTTATATCTACCTTCTTCCTTCTCTCTAACAAAGTGGAGTTGAGCCCTCAATTTGTGCCTTGTGTCCATCCTCCCCTTGCCCAGGGACGTTGTTCTAAGAATGACCTCTTCTCTACCTTGTATCTTCAACACTTCTTTGATTAATGCTTAACCAATCACCTCTCTTCCATCTGAAATTGCTTCTCTATCAGTTGTAAGGACCTAGGGATCCCACCTTCTGGACATTCATTGAAACTATTCTCTTTGAACTCTAGCCAGTAGCCACCACTAGATTAAAACATCTGGACTATGCTTTAATTTCACAGCCTGTTTCCCTGCCTCCATTTTTCCCTCTTCCAATTCGTTATTCTGCAGGCAGCATGATCTTCTGAAAACATAATTCTAACCAGGCCATTTCTATGCTGAAAACCCTCCAGTGGCTTCCTCTTGAGTGTAAGAAACTAGCCCACCTCTAAGGGGCTTCTGAAGCCCTGAGACTGGTCCTGCACACGTCTACTGCCTCACCCCTCACCCCTTCCCAGCCTCACCAGCCCTCCATGGTGCCTCCAAAGAGCCAAATCCTCTTGTCTCTGGGCCCCACCTCAAGCTATTCCTTCTTTCTGGGATCTGCTTCCCAACCTTTCATCCCTCAGGGGTCAGCTGAGACAGTGCTTCTGGGATTTTTGGGCATTTCTCTTTCTCCTAAGGCCAAACCCTAGCCCACATAGCAGCCAGCACAACCTATACCTATTATTGCCACATACTCCCTTGAGTAAAATCTTTCCTTGTTTTTCAGTGTCCCAGGGACAAAGTCCAAATTCCTTAGCTGGGCTGACAAAGCTACTCAGCACACAGGAGTAAAAGAGGAGGATTCCCATCATCCACTCATTTTCTCTTGAAGTGAGGGGGTCTGAGTCAGCTGCTGCTGAGGGTGGGGTTGGCCCACTGCAGATTTCCCTAAGAACTTCTCACTATGCAGGGAAGAGGGACAGGTGCAGCAAAGGCAGATGGTGGATTCATCGGTGAAGGGTCCCCGCCCACCCCCATCTGGAGTGTGAGGCTTAGAGTCTGTGGGCGAAATGGTGGGCCAGGGAATCTAAACCAAGTGACAGGAAGTGAGTACTGTAAGGGGAGGCACTGTCAGGAGGCAGCTTTAGAGAGAGACAGAGAGGCAAGTGGACTGCTGGCCATGGTGTGGGTCATGCAGAGGTTTAGTGAAATGACTCAAGAAACCAGCTGATGGCAGGAGGGGGTGGCAGGTCTGCTTTAGTGGTGGAGGAGGTAGAAGAATTTCTGCTTTGCCTGTGCTTCTCTCCATCACCTGTTTCACATTATGGTTGGGTGGATAGATGCCAACTTCCACGCTTGTGAAGCATGCCCTCTGTGGGCACCAGCCATATTCTCCATTCTGCATCCTTTCTAGGGAGCCCAATGCTGGCCTTGTCTGCAGTGGCATCCACTAAGTTGGATGTTCATGTTGTATAGCCCCCTGTCTCCCCATACCCTCTGCATTTCTGATTTCTTTTAGTTTTTAAAAAAGAAGTCTAGCCTTGTCTCCACAGGAAGCATCCATATTATAGGATGGAAGGGCATTCTGTGGTTCTCTCATTGCCCAGGTTTGGTCTAGGGGGAGATCTCTTTTGGAGCCCAGGAAGAGTGAGGATTTCTGGGGGGTAGAGAGCACAGAGCCTCAGGAAAGAAAGAGTCAGGGCCCAGTGTATGTATCTACCCTTCCCAACCAAAAGTGGGTCTCCCTGCTCCTTGCACATACATTGCCAATCGCCCAAGCAGCACTCCTTCATTCTCCCAACAAAGCACCTACTATGTGTCAGGTCCACAAGGGATACATAGATAAGCAAGACCCAAACCTTGTCAGGGTGAGCTTAATACCTGATTGAGGAGTCAGGCACACAAAGAAAGAATCATAGGCTAGCGCCTACAGTTAAGGGTACTATGGCACAGAAAAGGAGCAAGTCACTAGTCAGGGAATGTGGCTCCCCAGAGAAGTGTTAGGAAGTCTGTAACAGGTTGGAAGCCACAGAAAGATTTTAAGGTAGATTTTCATTTTAGGATGATCACTGATTCAAGTGTATGTAGCAGGGGAAGATGGATTTGAGAGGACAAAAGGGTAAAAGTAGGGAATAGTGAGGAGACTGCTGTACAATTTAGCCAAAGATAAAGAAGGTCACTTCTCAGCAGTATGGAGATGTGGATTATCAGGCAAATATTTACGATGAACAGGAGGAGTTGCTGATTTGTTTTTGGTCTAGGGGAAGGAGAGCGTGAAAGTGCTACCACTATCTGGGACCACTCCAAGATCTCTGACCTGATCCCTAGGCGATTGGTGATACCTTCAGACAAGATGGAGGAGCTCTTCAAGATAGAAAGCAGGGGTCCTATTTTGAATGTGTGGAGTATGAGGTCCTATTGAATATTCAGGGGACAGGTTTCCATTGTTCTGGGCATTCTTGGACATTCCTTGTCTTCCCTTTCTGGATCTGCCCTCTTTCCCTCATCCACCTGCTGGGCTTTTTCTCCAGAAGACATATTTGCCCTTGCCTGCTGACAGGAATTCTCCCTCATTAGAGTCTTTTAGGAGACAGGTTTCCTTCCTCTGCTTTTCCCATCTCTTTCCTGGACTTCATGTGTCTGCACCTTGTGCAGCAGGAAGTGATGCAGCAGTAACCACTGCTCTTGCACACTGCGTCCAGTGAAACTTTATCGTAGTCACCAGGAAATGTCACTGCATACCATAGAAGGGGAGATCCCTTCCAGGGCTGACTCCAAGCAGGAAGTGACTCTTACCACCCCAGAGAGATTCAAACACCTCTCCCATGCCTGGAAACCCAGACCAGCTGGTGCAGCCACTACACGAACTGCAGGCTGTTCTGGCTTCAGAGGCAGGAGAGGGAGATGCAGCCTCCCTGCCATCCTTGGGGAATTTGCAGAAGGCAGACAGCATAAGGGAGGTGCAGTCTCTAGGGAAACCAGCTAATATCGCCTCACACTTAAGACTTCTTTTGAACCAGGGAGGAGCAAAAGGCAAAGGAACAGGTTCCCCACTTGCTCTCTGGGACCAGAAACCGAACACCTTCCCAAATCTGTGCACCTCTCAACACTTGTCCCTTCTCCCCTCTTGTCCCTTGTTACCTGAGAGGAGAAACTCTGCACCTGGCTGAGAACACCTTCAAGTCACCACTGATAAGCTGAGATGGGAGCAAAGAGTTAGCCTTGGACAGGGTGGGGTGTGAAGTAGAGGAATGGAGGCTCTCTGAGGTAAGATGATGAAGTGAAGACAAGAACAATGACAATAGCAGTCACCATTTTACTGCATATCTGCCATAAGCCCAGTCCTTCCATACATGGTGATATTTAATGCTTGTAAATGATGGTGAAATGATCCTCAGGAAACTGAGGCCAGGGGGGCTAAGTCACTTTCCTGAGGCCCCAGCTGCTAGGTGCTCAAGGGGGATTCCAATCCAGGCCCATCTCATTCCAGAGTCCATGTTCCTCTTGCTTTGCCACCAGTTACTGTCCCCGACCAACAGTCACTGGTGCAGTCCCAGGTGAGCAACCATCACCCCTATGGAAATCCCTGATGATGTTATGGAGGAGAGAGATGTTGGCAATAGGGGTCAAGAATTTGGGATCCCAGATGTTTCTTTGCCTAGAGACCCCAGACCCAGACAGGCAGATGACAGTCCACAGACACAAATGCGAAGTTCAAGGAGATGTACATTCACTTCCCGTGGTGTGGATGCATGGGTACACCTGGGCTCCTAAATGCACATCATGTAATCCCACAGAAGAGTTGACCCAGCTCTGAGACACACATACCCTCTCACACATATATGCATACACACATGCATGACCTGGCACAGTTCTGGGGACAGTGAGGCAGGTCATGGGAAGGAGGGCTCCGGTTCCATCAGATGAGGCTGGCGATGCTGGAGGTGGTCTCATGCCGCTGGCCAGAGGACAACCGTCCTGAGACGCTGAAGATGCTGCTATTGCCACTGTGGCCACTGTGAGTGGAAGGGGCAGATGCATGGATGGGGGGGCAGTGTCCACTCACACCCACCTGATACAGCAGTAAGCCCAGCAGCAAGAGTGAGCCCAAGGCAGCCAGGGCAATGCCCACAGACAGCATAGCAGCCAGCGGCCGAGCAGGGGCAGGGGCAGCAGCCAGCCCAGCCAGGGTCAAGCCAGTGACCAGCAACACAAGGCCACTGAGCAGAACCACAAGGGCATCAGCCCCTCCACCACTGCGCAGCAGATGCACGTGATGGGCCTGGCGAATGCAGTTCATGTCCTGCACGGCCGAGCTCATCAGCTGCTTCACCAGAACCAGCAGGGCCAGCAGGCAGAGCACAGTGCCCACGGCTAGGCGCCACTCTCCAGAGCGGCTGCTGGTGGAGGACAGCAGTGCCACACCACCTGCCCCACAACCAGCCACAAGACCCACAGCTACAGAGAAACACAACAGTGAACGCCGTGGCTGCTGGGACCACCACAGCTCCACCTGCTCGGCCAGCACATCGGGGGGCAGCTCTCGGCCCACCGGGGCTTGAGCTCGTTCTGACATGGCGTGGTCAGGCAGGGTCAGGGTCAGGGCAGAAGGTTGGTGTCAGGGGTCAGAGGGTACAGCTCATGGCCTTGTGCCCCCACCACCTGCTTGGCAGCTCCAGGCCCAGAGTCTCGTTCTTCTCTCAGTCCAGGCTATGGTTACCATCACCTGCAGGGACAGGATCAGGGTGTCATCTCACATTCACCTGGCCCTCATGGTCTTACGTAGGGGCCTTGAGGAAGAGCCTTGGGATCCTCCCCAGTGACCTCTGGATCCCCCAAAGTCCCTCTAGTGATCCAAGGAGAGTTCCCACCTCCACAGAACACCCCCATCCTCCAGGGAATCCCCTTGCCCAGCCCCTGACCTTTCTGGCTCTGGCTCTTTCAGTCTCCTGTTCCATCCCGGCTGGCTGAGGGAGCTGGTGCCACAGTGGATGATGGGACGAACAGCCAGAGATAAAGCCTCATTCAGGATCAGACTCACATGGCCTCAGCTGTCACTGCTGGTTCCTGGTGGGGGGAGTCTGGGGTGGGGGTGGGGACTGATGACTTAACCCTTCTGGGACCAGCAGCCTGATCCTAAACCTTCTTGGAGCTGTGGCTCCTCCTCCCCTGTGGGTTAGCATCTGACCTTTAGCACCATCCTTCCCCTAATCCCTTCCCATCTCACATCCTGACTGACAATAAAAGATGCCAGTCCCAAATCCTTCTCTTCAGCCTGTATCTCTCCTGAGCCAATTGTCACCTTAATGTCTCATAGTCAACTCTGATGCAACAGGCCCCAACCTAAGCTGTGTCATCTAACCCCAAACCTGCTCCTCCTCTGTGCTCCTCACCCAGGATGGCATCACCACCCTCTCAGCCTCCGGGGACTCCTCATCTCTCTCTGCCATCCCTAATACTCATCCCAGGCTTCACCGCTAAACATTTCTCCATCCAGTCCTGCTCCCACCCCACTGCATCTGCCACTTCACTCCTCCACTCCTCCCACTGATCTTTCTGGTTCTCCACTGTTCTGCACCCTCCCCTGGTGACATCCTCCTCCACGATTTCTCTAAAGTAGTGCAGTTGAAAAAGGAGGGCTCTGGACTTTCACCCCAGCATAGTCTTTCCCACCATGGGAGCGTGGGGAGGGACCTAACAGTGGCTATCCATTTAACCTGTCTGTTAGAGGGCAGTTAGCACAATTCACACTGTGCAAAAACAAAGCAGGGGTGGGCCCTGCCCTCGAGGAGCCTAGTTTGCTGACACAGGGGACAGAAGCAAACAGGTCCTGTTGGTGCCCTAAGTGCCCAGTGTGAGTTGGTCTGGTCAGCACAGGGCCCTGGGAGTCCAGTTGAGGGACTTGGCGTGTGACAGGGAAACTCCAGGAATCACCTCTCAGGGCCCCAGTCTCCTTGGCTATAAAGTGAGGACAGTGGCATTTATCCTGAGGGGTGGGAGAGAATCACTAGACATCTTCAATTCAGAATTCGATGGGGCTTACAGCCTGCAAGGATGCTCAATGAATGCCTTTTGATTAAGTGAACAGGATGAGATGCAGCAGGGGACGGAGGACACAGGTCCTGGATCATTCCAGGAACAAAATGACATGGCTGTGCATGGTTTATATCACAAGGAAGCAGTGGCTATGGTCACACAAGGTGGGCAGGACAGGTATAAACGTCCCCAGGGGAGGTGGAGGAGGGGCTGTGGGCAGAGTCAGTCCCAGCATTCCCCTGGGCTGCGACTTGTTGGTCTGAAAATGCAGGCACGGGTGTACTGGGACAGTGGGCCCAGGCTCGGGTGGGGTGGAGGTCCTCAGGGGAAGAGCCAGTGGAAGAAGGTGGGGGCGGGGCAGAGCAGGTGGTGGGGACTGTGGGGCACTCACGGAGAAGCCTGGACGTGCTGGGTCCGATTTGAGCAGGCAGGGCCTGGCAGGTGGGACGCTCTAGCTCTGTTTCCGGGGAGACACTTCACCTGCACTCAGGTGAGCCCGAGGGAGGGTGAGTAACAGGTGCGCTTTCCAGGGCAGGGCCTGAACTGATTGGCTGACGTGGCACTGCTCCTTCTGCTGGGCAGAGACATTCCGAGGAAGGGAGGGGCTTCTGTCAGCTGCTGGAGCACCAGCCACAGACCTGCATGGCGGCAGAAGGAATGTTGTCCATCTGCCCCATGGCCTTCGTCCCAGCCCCATTTCCAAACCCAGCCCCTCATGTGGCTTGAAATTTTAGTTCCACCTCTTAATTCCAGCTCAGATCGGGTCTGAAGTGCTAGACCTCAACCACACCTTCAGCTCCAGAATTGACCTGTTCCTGAGTCTAGCCCCCTCAAACCCAGCTTCAGCCCCAAAGCACAGCCCCAGCCAATTCCCAAGCCCAGTCCTAGTTCCTAGTCTTCCACCCTTTGCTCCCCAGGAGCCCTTTGGCCATTCTCTTTCAAGCCCTCAAATGCCTTCCCATGTGGCTGGAACTTGCTGGGTGGGGGGGCAGGAGGAGGGACAGAGGCCTTTACCAGAATAAACACTTAGGAATAAATGCCACACTCCTTTACAAGGCGCACACAGCCCCTACCCTCCAGTCAGAGGAGTGTCTGTCACCTGACCTTGCCCTTCTGGTTTTTGAGCTTGGAGTTTTCTCTGTCTGTTTTTTTGTGTTTTGCAGCATTGGGGTTTGAACTACAGGCCTCACATTTGCTAGGCAGGCACTTTACCACTTGAGCCACTGCGCCAGTCCTTTTTCGTGATGGGCTTTTTGAGATAGGGTCTCACAAACTATTTGCCCAGGCTGACTTTGAAGAGTGATCCTCCTGCTGTCTGCCTCCTGAGTAGCTGGGATTTTGTCTGCCTCCTGAGTAGCTGGGATTACAGGCGTGAGCTACAGGCACTGGTTCTCTTTTTACCTTTTCAGGTTATTCTTCAGGTAGGGTCTTATGCCTTTGGCACGAGGCCTGGCCTAACCTTAACCCTCACCATGACCCTCCTGCTTGCGCCTCCATGAAGAGCCACAGGAGTACACTGCCAGGCCCAGCTTATTTACCGAGATGGGATCTTCCTACCTTGTTCCCTGGGCTGGACTCAACCAAGATCCTTCTGATCTCTGCCTCCTGAGTAGCTGTGATTATAGGCATGAGCCACTGGTGCCCAACTCTCTGCCGAAGGTAGTTACTACTCCCCAGCCTCGGTCTCGTCAACTCAGTTCTTCAACTGAGATGTCATCTTCTCCAGGAAGTCCTCCCTGATCTGAAGGCTGGTTTGGATGCACTCATAATCTCTATGCTTCCCCCACAAATGCTTTTATTGCAAAGGGCTTAATTTCCTTTTTTTAGTTACCTATCTCTCCACCTTCAGATGTGTGGTTCCTAGCCAATATAGGGATAGTGTCTATTTTGCTAACCATCACGTCCTCAGTAGCCAGCGTCCAGTAACCTGCACATGGGGAGTAATCAATAAATATTTGCTGAATGACCAACTGAATAAATAAAAGTGAACTGATGTGATGTGGAGGTTTTGAGCAGTGTGAGATAAAACCAGAAAGACAAGTTTGGCTCAGGCTGTATAGGGCCCTAAATGCCTTGGGGATGCAATTGCACTGTGTAGGCTGTCCAAGGGGGATTCCAGGGAACGTGGCCAGAACTCTGCTTCTAATCAGCAAATCCGGCACCACACGCACAACTCCAGAGTGGCACACTGGCGGCTTGTTGGGCTGGGGAGCAGGCTGTCACTCATCTTCTGATCTAGACCTGTTAAGGCCTCTTCTCTCTCCTTCTGATGTATATGAAATAGAAAAGAAAAAAAAATCAAAGTTATCTTTCCATTTTCAGGTCACAAAATAACTGTGCCTGACCGACTGTTTCATCTGTGGGGATGACTGGGGGCCTCCTAACCCAGAGCAGCACTGTCAGCAGGTAGAAATATTTGCTACATATGTAATTTAAACATTTCTAAGGAAAAAGTTCACCTGTTAAAAAAGAAATAGTGAAATCAACACATTAAGATGAATATATTTGAATTCCCAAAATAATACAAGTTATTATTGAACTATTTAACAGTCTTTTATTTTGTACAAAGTCTTGAAACTTGCTGCATATTTTACATACACACATCTCAACTGAGACTGGCCACAGTTCAAATGTCCAATGTCCACATTTGGCTGTGTCCATGTTCTTGCTGGGTGGTACTGCTGTGGATCTTCTTCCCCTGTAGAAAATTTTATGGCAGACTGCTCTCTGTGGGGCAGGCTGGATGTGAGAGCCAATGGTGTGGCATTGCAGGTATTCATCTGGCCACTTTGAAAGTATTGTAATGATGCTCCCTTTATAATAAAGGGGCTCAGGGAGCAGAGGGCCTGGGAGGGCTTGCCAGCTGCTTACACACATCTGATGTTTATTTACCTTTCTGGTCCCAAGGAGATTCCAGTCCCAGGCAGACCCATATTGGGCTGGGGCAGGGGCTTCATGAGCTTTTCCTTCCTTTTCTCCTTCCCTTGGGAGTTTGAATTGGGGAAAACAAAGCCTAAAGCTTGTTCAGTTTAAACATTGACTGGGCAAGTCTTTGTTTTAGTTCTGGATTTTATCAAATGAGTTAAAGTGGGAAGAGAGGCTCTGCACAGATCTACTGAACTCTGTCCCCAAAACAGAGGTAGTAGGGGCAGCTCAGATGGGCAGTAATGAAAGTCAGGAGGAGGAGATGGCAGCCATGGGCTGCCATGGGGAAAATGTGTATCCAATCTGCCCTCTATGCATTGGAAGGTGATGGGTGGGTGTATGGGGAGAATAGGATGGAGGGCCATCCCTGCTTCTGCCATGTTCCCACCTTACACTATGCTCAGCCCTGCACTGCTGAGTCCCTCCAATGGTCATCTTGTCCTCGCATGATCTTTAGGCCCTGTCTGACCTCATGGGCATGCCTGAGAGCCTCTGAACTGGCTGTTCCCTTTCCCTAGAATTCTTTTCTCCCACATAGCTCCATCCCTCTCTTCCTCCAGGATTGTACTCAAATGCCACCTGATTCTCAGTGAGACCTTCCTGGTTACCCTGTCTAAAATCACAGATATTCTAATATTTCCTATCTCCCCACCCTTTCATTTCCTTAGCACTTAGCATTCTCCAATATGCTATATATTTTTCTTATGTGGATTATTGTCTGTCTCTCTGTTGGAATGGGACCTTTATAAAGGAAAAATTTGCCTGTTTATTTGCTGTTGTAGTCCCAGCTCCTAGAATAGGCCTGGTATACAATGGGTGTGCAATAAATGCAGTTGAATGAATAAGTGAATAGTAGAAAGGACGATGGTTTTGAAGCCGGATTGATCTTGAAGTTTCAAGTCCCAGCTCTAGTTGTATAACTTAAGAGAACTGCTTACCCTCTGTGGAGCTCAGTTTCTTCATTGGTAGGAAAGAAATAATAGTACTTAGTCTATATAATTGTGGGGGGATTAAATATTGGAATTCATTCAGCAAACATTTACTCTGTCACTTCTTTGGGCCAGGTATTATGCAGGTGCAGGAGATGGAGGGGTGAGCTAGGGAGGTACCATTCCTGCTATCCTGGAGGGCAGACTTGGAGAAAAAAGTGCACACAGTACAGGCAGCTACAGGGCTTCAGTGCTGCAGGCACTCCTCTTCACACCTTGGTGACTGATGGGTCCCTAAGATAGACACTTTTTGGGGTAATGGCCATCCTCTTTGCAGGGAAGAACCTCACAACCAGGATAATATCTTGTGACTCACCCCTATGGAGAGCAACAGTTGACTGACTAGAGGTGAGCCCTAGACTTGAGCTGGGTCCTACAGACTCTCATTTGGCAATTTAAGATTGAACTGGAGATTTCATTTCAGCTTGGGGGCTTCTATTGAGGAGAGGCGCTAAGGTATTTTTCTGCCAGCTGAACTGGTAGTGAAAAGCTGGTCTGCACAGAGGGGCAAGGACAAGAGAAGGAAAGGGGCTCCAGCAGTGTCCTAGGCCCTGGCTCAAGTCCTTCTTGAGGTTTTCGTGCTTCTTTGTCAAAGACAGTCCACGAGGCACCCCAGAGGCAGATAACACATTCTGCTTTTTGGCTTAAGCTGTTCAGATTTGGTTTCCATCACTTGTAGCCAAAGAAGGGCTTCCATATCTCCTCTGATTGGAATTAGAACTCCATTGTCCCAATTTTAATATATTTTTCCATGCAGTATGTGCCTAGTAAGTTCTAGTCCACACTTGTTGCCCCTGCAAATTCCACCATATGACACATATAGATGAGCAATAAATACAAATTCGGTAACACTGTGGAAAGGTCCTTCTGCTGTCTAGTGCACAACAGGATTTACTTCCTTGTAAATTTTCTGCCCAGCCTAGCTCAACTCAGAAGAGTCTGACTGTACCTCAGCTATGAGGCATGTGCAGGCTCCAGGACCTCCAACAGCCTTGGGGAACTCAAGGAGAATGAAGAATGAACCCAGTCCTGGTCCTGAGATCTCTTCTCTCACCCCTCACTCCAGATCCAGAGCAATGACTGTAAGTGCTGCTACCTGGGCACACAGATATTCCCAGACCCACCTGTATCCCTCAGGTGCCTCCTGGGAACACCAGTTGTGCATGGCTGATGGGCAATAGCTCGCCATGTTTTGTATAAGAAGCAGTGAAGAAAGGTAGAAATGCCAGACCCTGAGTGTGGGGCAGGGTCTTGGTGCTGAGAGAACAAGAAGGCAGAGGAGGCTCATCTTGGCAGTTCATGCTGTCTGGACATAATGCCAAAAATCTAGAAGAAGGGGAGGAGCCCAATGGATGTCTGAGACCCAGAGAGAGAGGAATTCTGGAGGTTCTTATGCTAGAAAGGCGCAGGAGCCCTAAAAGGCACCAGCTATCATACCAGAATTGAATGGGTCCCCAGACTTCAATGGTGGACTGCCAACAGATGAGTAAGAATAAAGCCCATGTACTGACATAGAGTCACGGGTAACTGGTGGGCCCCACAGCTGCTGCAGGAGAAGTGACTGCCAGGCCCATTCCACCAATGAGGGGTCAATCAGTCGTAGAGACCTTGTGAAGAAGGAGGTGGCTCTAGTAGGGGGAGTGCCTCCAGTCTTCCCATGGAATCCAGGTAGGCAAAATGGAGAGAGGTCTGGAATGCAACAGTCAGAGAAGCAGGGCCAGCCAGCTGTATAGAAGCACCAAAGACAGAATGCAGAGATTGTACCTCTGGCTTGAGATTCACTAGCAAGATGCTGTGTTTACCCCTGTGCACCTAAGAAAACACACTTCTGAGCTGCTGGCCAATGTGCCAAGTTTGGCTGGGGAGGGTTCTCCTTTGGCTTAGACTTCTTCCCTCCTCCTACTTTTCCTCACCAGCTGTACAGTAGCCAGGTTTAGGTTAGGTTCAGGTTAGCTCAGCTTGAGAATTTTCTGCTCCTTTTTCTTCTGGTTATACTTTCTGGGAATCATGTTCCTATAATCCGCAGCACCTGGCCTATGGTGTGTTACATGGGCACCTCTCCAGCTCAGCACATAAGAACATGGCCTCTGGAGTCCATTGGGTAGATAAGGCTGCAACCCTGGCCCTGTCTGTGTGATATGTGGCAGTTACTTTACTCTTCTTGGTTTTTGCTTCCTCATCTATAAACTGAGGTCCATCTTGTAGGTGATGTCTTAAATCAAAGATATTTTTCATTGAATGTTGATATGTCTGAGCCATAGTGAACTTCCTTCTGGTCTTCAGAGCAGCTCCAGTTTCCTCACTTTTTTCTTCTTTTCAGGTTATGCTCTGTCCCCTAAACCCCCAGCTTGGCTAACTCTCACTAATCCTTAACTCAGAAGAGTTCACTTCTCTTCCTCCCCTCTGCCATCATCTTGATACAAGCCACCAACCTTTCACACCTGGACACCTACAGCTTCCCTCTCACTGGGCCCCTTGCTTCTACTATTGGATTCCTTCAGTAAGTGCCACATAGACACTCAAGTGAACTTTAGACTCAGACATACTCTTATCCTCATGGAAACCTCCTAGCAGGAGAGGCAGACATTAAACAACTAAATGGATATATTATAGTGACAGTTATGAAGGAAAACAATATGGCAGGTGAAATTTAGATGAGGATGTGTCAAGGACTGACTTTCTGAGGAAGTGACATTTAAGCTAATATCTGAAGGAGGTGTGTAGGCAAGAGCACTTTAGGCAGAGGAAGCAGTGTGTGAAAGATCTAGAGGCAGGGATACCCTAGCCAACTGGGGGAACTGAAAGGAGGCCAGTGTGGCAAGAGCCTGGAAAACGAAGGACAGTGGTTCACAGTAGCCTAGCATTAGCCTCTGAACTTCAGTCAATATTTTTCATGTGCCTTTAAGGCCTTGGGTAATCTGGCCCTACTGACCCATAGCCTCCTACTCCACCCCTATCTCATTTCAAGCCAGTTTCTTCTGCCAAGATAAAGTTAAGATGCTAGTTCAGAATGAAGTTGAAACCCAGAAGAGTTCAGCCACCTGGCATGATAATGCAAGGGGCTGTCACCTTTGTGGGTGATATTTCAGGATGCCTGAATCTTTTCCCACTCATAGGCTCTGGTCTCCCACTGTGTTCATTATTTTTCTCTCGTTTTTTCCCTCACCATTATACAAAACTCCTTAGAACTAGCACTATGGATGTAGATCTATGATAGAGTGCTTGCCTAGCATGTGCAAGGCCCTGAGTTTGATCCCAAGTACCAAAAAACAAAAAAAGAAAATTGTCTTACACTTATAAAGGGGAAGAAACTGCAGAGGTTTGTCTGTTCTTGACTTGGCTGGCAGAGAAGAAAGCCAGGAAGGAGGCAGCAGGTGACATATGCAAGCAGGCATCCTGGTCCTCAGGCCCAGAAAGAAAAGCAGGTGGCAGGAAGCCAGTTCCAAGTCCCACACCATCTCTGCAATCCAGGCAGCCTGGTGTCCACACAGGACAAACCACTGTGGCTTTGGATGAGCCATAGGCCCCCAATCCTCTTTCCCTGCCACACCCCACCACCTAGTTAAGCAGAAGTTGGACAAGGTTGTGGGCAAATACCTTTATTCTGACCATGTCTGCAGTTCTCAGGACAAAAGAAAGAGGTTGGTGGGGACAGTGCTGCAGGGCCTGCAGGGAGTCTGGCATGTGTCTGGCCTGGTGACAGACACAGGTGCTTCTGGTTGTGGCTGGAAACAGTTCACCAGAAGGGTCACTTGGTATGCACTTCAAAATCCACCTCTGAGTCAACAAGGGAAGGAAGCCGAATCCCACCAATGGTATGGAACCCCGGGACCTGCTCTTGTTCTTGGATCTGGTCCCTGAGGCGTTGGATTTCTAGGCGTTGCATTTCAATGATTCTGTCAGTTTCTTCTTGCTCATTCAGCCTCATGGTGGGTGCAACACTGGGCATGTCCTTGCTGACTTCTATAAGGGACAGAGCAGAGCAGGACAAATGTGGCCTATTTATTGGATTGCTATAGTCCCCTCTTCCCTCCCCAGATATTCATTGGGCATCTACACTGGGAAGACATTCAATTCCAGGTGCTGGGGGTACAGAGATAAACAAGCCACTTCACTATCTCACAGGGAAATGAAGAGTTAGTAAGTGATAAGATGAAGGCTGAGCATGACTCCAGCCCAGCCCCTCCCCAGCCCCTAGGAGCCTGTGCTGAGGCCCTGTCTGGTGGAAGCTACTTCTCTTTCTCCCATTCCCCATGCCTTGGGCATGGTGACCCTTTCCTGGGGACTATGTTGGCTTCCAAGTAACCAGTCCTCCTCCTCCTGTAAAGGTCCCCATTCCTACAGACAGATGCTTCCACTCCCAAGCTTATAAGGCCGAACTCCCACGATGTTGGCCTCCACACCATGTCAGCAACTACCCCTATGGCTTTCCCTCTCTCTTCCCCACCTAGTTTCCTGCATTGTGGGCACCTTTCACTCCAGTATGCTATTCTCTGACTCAACCTCTTACTGTCTGTACTCAAGATATGCACTCTCTGGCTGAGACCTCTTCTACATGGACAACTCCATTTTTGACCCACAAATGACTCCTAAATTCACTTCCTTTTCTGACCAGTTTAGACCCACAGTGAGTTTTTCTATTTTCTTCATAGCACCTTCAGTATTCTGGTTGCCTTGTACTTCTGTCTTGTGTACCCTGTCCACTCAAACCTGAGAGAACCTAACCCTTCAGTGTCTCTAAGACTAAATCTGACCTGCTGTGTGCTACTGGAAAAAGTAGCATATATGATTCAAACTCTTGGTCTCCAACCAACTATGGGCTTTATGTTCATAGTCGGAAAACTTTCTCATTCCCCACAGCAGTATGTTAGAGCTTTGACCTTCACTTCTCCCTCATTTTTTTTTCCAGTACTGGAGATTAAACTCAGGGCCTTATGCTTGCTAGGCAGTGTTCTACCACTTAAGGCACACACCCCAAGTCCTTTGGCTTTTGGATTGTTTTTCAGATCGGGTCTTGTACTTTTGTCTAGGCTGGCCTTGGAAGGTGATCCTCCCTATCATACTCTCCCAAGTAGCTGGGATTACAGACATGTACCACCATGACCAGCCCATCTCTCTCTCACTCTTAACAAATGGCAATACCACTTGTCTCTAGCTCCCTGAAACTGTATCCAACTCCCTGATCCAGTCAAATGTCTCTCAGTGGAAGATGGGGAGGGAGGTGTCCTTCTTTCCCACTGCCAACTCTTCCCTATACATCTGGAGGAAAAACTAGAAAAGAACAGATGTTGAAGGACAAGAAGAGATGGTTACAAAGAGGATATGGTCCCCAGTGGCCAGTGGGCAGCCTTGCTTTGGGCCTCTAATTGGTCTAATAGGGCTGGCATTTAAAGAACACACAGCTTATTGCATCCTTCTTGCTTATCCTTCTCAGGAGCAGCCTGGATCCTTCTCTCTCTGCCTTCACTCCTTGACTCTTCTCATTTTCTGCAGTCTCTAGGCTTATGATCTTTCACTATTATCTGCCTCCCCACTCAGGATTTGACCTTTCATCAGTCCTCTGCTACTGGTTGCTCTTGGTAACCATCCCCTCAGTCAATGGGGCCCTGGAGAGCAGGGACTCTGGGGAAGGTACAGCACATCCAGGCCTATCTGCACATCTACCTCCTTGGGCCTGCATTGCTCACCTGTTCCTTACTTCTGCTCCCTCAGCTATTTCCTCTCTCTCATTGTTACCAGCATAGTCTCTGAACTAAGCTATGTGCTCTCTCTCATTGGCCTTTACAAACTGCTACCCACCCAGTCACCATCTTGCTTCCCAGGGCAACCTAACCTGTGTGTGAAGCCACCGTCTGAGAGGGACTCAGGGGAGTAAGCCTGAAAAGGTCCTCGTACTTGGATTTCTTCTCTCTGCCCTGCCACCAGCAGGACTGGCCATACCAGCATCTCTTTGCTCTTAGCGCTTCTCCAGATGTTACAAGGATCTTGATGCAGACTGCAACTTTAAGGCCCTCCAGACCCCTCAATCATTTGGTGAAGTCAGTGGACCTCAGAGGCTGGGCACTGGGATGTGCTGCACTGGCAGAATCTTTCCATGCATGCAAAGGAAGGGTATCAAACACTGCAGGGCCACAGCGCAGCTCGGGGTGTGTGAAGCTAGCTGCAGGCTGGTGGCTGACCTCCTGGGCAGTCATCTGGCCCAGACCCCACCACCCCACAAATATTGCCAGAGATGCAGCTCTGCCTTCTGGGAAGCCAGCTAATAGAAGATGGTTCAGTGGATACAATATTGGGATTCTGCTTTGCTTCCTGGTCTGTCTCCCATTCTGGTCTGTGAGCATCTCAAGGGCCCAGGCCATGCTTTTCCTCCATTTCTACCTTCACTCCTGTAATTTTCTTCCCATTCCCTTTGACAGTGACCTGCCTGCTCATTATGCTGTGGTTCAGTCTTACAAGATGGACCCTCTTTAATGGGCCTTCTTCCATGTCTATGCCTGTGTAACCTCCTCTGTCATCCTTCGGTGGCTGTGCGAAGCCAGTTCTCTCCACGCAGTCCATTCTCGCCTCTCTCCTCCTATGCCTAGTCCCATAGTGTACTCTTGTTCTGCCCTGAACCTGCCATCTTCCAGCCCTGGTCAGTCTCCCTCTCTGTAGCATGATCACCGGCTTTCCTCAATAAAGTCTGGGTTTATGATATTATTATTATTATTATTATTATTATTTTGGTGGTGCTGGGGATCAAACCTACAACCTCATGGGCATGCTAGGCAAGTGCTCTACCACCGAGCACTCCCAGTCCAAATTCTGACTTTAAATGATGGAAAGTAAGAATGTGGTCACTAATACATCTGGATTCATTTCTATATTTTTTGGTACTTTTGTATTTTTTTTTTTTCAAATTTTGGACATTTCCCCTTACTGCTTTGGAAAGCTTTCTCTCCCTCCCTCCCTCCCTTCCTTCCTTTATTCCTTCCCACTAGATACTCTAAAAGTTTAACATTCATATTTAATATAAGAATTCAAAGTAAATCAATTATGGTTGCCCTGTAATAAAACAATATAAGACTTAGAATGCCTTAGCACCAGGCCCTTTTGGATCATATTCTAATGTCCAGTATTTTAGTTTTATTTTGATATTTTAATCCAAAATTTAACCATTGTTTTATATAGTTAACGGCTGTTTAGATTCTACATATTTGCCTCCTTCTTGTATTCAGGCTTTTCTCTGGAATCATTTTTCTTCCTGATCTAAACTCTTTAAAAATTCCTTCAAGGAGGTTTTGTTGGTGATAAAATTCAGTTTTTGTTTATCAGAAAATTTGTTTTCTTTTGGTCGCATTTTAAGAAGATGATTTCACTGGTGATGTAACTTGGGGGACAATTGGAAGCCTTCAGCACTTTGAAGATACTATATCATTATTTCTGGCTTTCACTCTTCTTACTGGAAAGTCAGATGCCAATGGATTGTAAGCAATCTGTCTCTTGTCTCTGGCTGCTTTTAGTATCTTGTCTTTGTGTTTTGCAGGTTAGATGCATATTTCTTTTTAATTATCCTTTTTGGGAGCCACTAGGATTCCTAAATCTGATGACTGGCATCTTCCACCAATTCTGAAAACCTCTCAGCTATTCCTTATGGTAATGTTGCCTTTTCTCATTCTTTCTCAAACTCCAATTAGACATAAATTGGATTATTCTATTTCAGCTTCAGTCTTCTAGTATATCTTTGTCCCCCTGGGCTGCAATCTTGTTACTTTCTTCTGTCTTTCAGTTTACAGATTCGCCCTTCAGATGTGTCTAATATATTGTTCAATTTGTCCACTGAATTTCTAATTATAATTATAGTTTTCATTCTTAACGTGTATTTTTATTTCTCAAATGTGTCTATACAGTTTTGGGAGACGCTTTTTTTTTTAAACTTTTTCAAATTCCTCTTTCATTTCTTTAAACATCTTAAATTCTTATTTTAATAATCCACTATTCAAGGTCTTTGCTGATTTTATTCTGTAGCTTGATGTTTTGGGTGGTTTTCTTCACTCATGGTGATTTAATTCCTCATGCATCTAGTATGTGTATGTGTGTGTGTGTGTGTGTGTGTGTGTGTGTGTGTTTGGTTGTGAGCTCATGTTCCTTGGAACTTTATTTATGGGAATTCAATGAAGTCTCTGTTTAAAATGTATTCTTCCAGACAGAATTTGTTTCTGCTTCTGCTTGGAACTTAGAGTCCTACCAATATGGGATCTTTTAAACTAAATTTTCAACTAGGTTTGATTTGAGCCACAAATCGAGCATGAATTTTGGACTTAAATCTGACCAAGTATGGGATTTTGGTTAGGAATTCTTGGGGACAGACCTTTTCTCAGATTTTTTTTTCTTTTCTTCACCCACAGTCAAACCTGACACAGAAACTTACGTCACCCATCTTCCTTTGTTAAAAGGTAGATTCCCCTCTAGCTCACCTTTAGTTTCCTAATCATTCTATATTGCTTTGACCTTTTCTTTTCAAAAGACATGCCTGCAATGGGAAACTGGAAGGCAAGCATACTTTTCCTAATGACATGTTTTCTTAAGTTAGTAATAATTACTTTTTAAAATTACATGTGACCATAATTCAGATTCAATTAATCCTTTATGGTTTACTACAAACAATAGTAATCGCCTATCCTATTCTACTCCATTTCTCAAACCTCAAAGGCAACAATTTCAATTAGTTTTGTTTATTCTTTTGATATCCACTTCCACACTTTTCTTTGATTAATGTGCTTCCATTGCTTCTTTCTCTTTGTTAGGCATTACCCTTGTCTTCTCACTATGAAAGATGAGGATTTTGCTCTTCTTCATCACCCTCCCTGTCCCATGCCTACTTCCTATCCTTTCATCTCCCCAGTTCTGAGTGGATTAATAGAATTCACATTACTATGATTTCTGTAACCACTGGTGACAGCTGAGCTGTGTAGTATATAATG